GTAATTATTGTAATAAGCTTCACGGTATTATAATTTGTTGTATTTTATAGATGAGAAAACGAAAATTCAGCAGGGGTGCTTTGCCCAAGGCCACAGAGTTATTAAAAGAGGTTGCTGAGCTCCATACTAGTTCTTTTCAGCTGAACAAGGCCCTGTCCATGCCCTATCCCACACTGGCCACATCCCTGGGGTGACATGGTCCCAGGACTAGCTTGTCAGAACTTATTGCCGAGCTGGGACTGTGCAGCAGCCATCACAGAAGCTCCTGTTCTTCCTGTTCTTGCCCACCCCTGTTCTCCCTTCCCCTTTGGCTGGCTCCCACTTTACCCACTGAGCTCCCCAAACATTGGGTGGCAGGGCCTGTGTCATTTGGAGAGCCAAAGTGGGCAGCTGGGCCCAGCACTTTCAGTCTCTCCTTAACATTTCTGAGGCTGTTTGCCCCACAGGGAGTTACATGACCTCTGGCTGTCTCCTTCTCTTCTCAGGACTCCAGTTTCCTTAAATGTAAATGAAGAGATCGGAGGCCCAGACTCTTTTTTTGTGACAGAATGGCACCCTCTCTCCAGAAAGCAGAATGTTGACAAGACTGCTTAGTTTCAAGAATCCTTAATTTCTGGTTGTCCCTAAGGCAGAACTGGGGACATGAAGGATCCCAGCTGCTCCGTGTCTCTGGTTCCTATCACACAAGGAAAGTGTGGGATCCTGGTTCAATCCCTCCCTATAGATTCCACCCCTTCCTATAGATTCCACATGCTACTCCAAGAACCAGAGGCTGCCCTATGGAAGCAGGGGGAATGACAAGGCACGGTTACAACGAGCTTAGCTCCACAGAATGGGGGCACTGCAGGTCTCCGGAGCCTGGCCCAGTGATTCGGGTGCTCCAAGCCTCCATTAAGGAAAGAGCTCATTCTTGGGCAGACTTTACTGAGTCTGACCTAATTTCTTGGGTCTGGCCCATCCTCTCCTGCCTCCCCGGCTGCAAGAAGCCCTGGTCCTCCCCTGATTTCCACCTACCACCAGGGGGCTCCTTGCATCCCGAAGCTCAATCCTCTGCTAGTGGGAGGCCCAGGCAAGGGCCAAGGGCATCTAATCTCAAGTGAAAGGTGCCAGGCTTCATGCCCACCCAAACTGGACATGCAGGGCAGTGAACTCTACTTATGCAAAGAGGAAGCAGGCCCTGGATATCCTCTGGAGCAGGTTGTGGGGTCATCCCAGAGAATCCCCTAGGTTTACATCCCACAATCTCTTGGTGCATGTACTGCACTGGCAAAGATTTCTCCAGAGGCCCCCTGAAAACAGGACACCCCTCCAAACACAACCCAAGTATTCTTTCTGGTCAGTCTTAGGGAGCAGGGGTGACCAAGAATTGGTGTGTAAATGTGAGGAGGGGGGCTCATCTTGTCAGTGGTGAGGATGTTTATATATATACAAGCACATACATACTCCTCATTCAATACCGTGTGTAGCTACTCTTTATCCAGGACATGCAGAAGGTGGCAGGGTATTTGTATCAAACTCTATTTATGTTATATTTACAGTATACCCTGGCAAACACACACACACACACACACACACACACACACCCCCCCCATGCGGTCTGACCATCTAGACCAGACTGTATAAGCTAAGGCATAACTGTTCAATATCAGGAACTTCTTGAATACTTTTTGCCCTCACTTAGGGAACTCCTTGATTCATCTTCTCTAACAGAAACTCAAAAGTGCAAAGAGGGAGAGGAGAGAAAGAAAATGAGAGATGAAGAAAGTCAGCCATTGTCCTGAACTTTTAGCACTGGGGGAAAATGAGGAAACTATAGGGTTCTGAGAAACCCCGAGAGCTGGGATTAGAGAGAGATGTCTTTTTGTGGGCAACCATGGGGAGGTGGGGTATGACTTGTCTCCCTTCTCTCACCTCCCTGTCACTGTGTAGACCAGGAATTGCACACCGATTCCTTAATTTCAGTACTTGGTAAGGCTGTTGCTCTCCACAGCCAAGAGTGCCTCTTGCCTTTCAGTTACTGGGTGCAGAGAGAGGTTCTGTCCTCCAGTGCTGGCCTGGTCAAACTCCACCTCACTGAAGGTTCTGCCTCCTCTGCTTTATCTGCTGGGGATAGCAGTTGGGAGGTGCTGAGAGCCAGCCTTAGAACAGAGAGCCTCAGCCAGTTGAAGGAAAGACTCTATGTATTCTCTGTTATCATTCAGCAAGCCAGGATTATATACCCAGAACATAACTGCACACCTCGCCAATGATTTATGAACACAACATACACTGGGGTTTCAGTAAGCACTTTGAGTACGAGCCATATGCTCTGTCCAAAGATATACACTGCCCACCCTGTCACTAGGATACTGACTTACACTGTATGCACACATTTGCAGCAAGCATAGACTACCCAACTGTCCATGGGATACAGTTCGAGCCACAGAAAGCACAAACAAACAAGCCCAGAGCAGTCCACTTTTTTTCTGAAACTCCCCTTAGTCATCCAGACAAAGGCGCAGCAGGTTGCCAGAAGTGATCAGACACTAGCCCTGACCAGCCTCTTGGGCTTCCCACACCAGTTGAGCCTCTCTCTCCAGCCTATTCTTTCCAGCTCCCCTGGCCCAAGCAGGCTCCAATCCCTGTCTCAGGGTGATGCTCCTCAAAATCTACATGGCTTCATCTTCTACCTTCCAGCCTCCCAGGGATGCTTGAGGGAGAAGGGGGCCACCCTGAGTGGGAGTCACTTTCCTTTGGGCCCAGCTACTCTAACAAGGATCCCACCCTGACATTCCCATGGCAGGACCACCAGTATAGGCTGAAGTGGGAGGTATAGGCTCAGTCCTTATGAGGAGTGCAGCTGCCTTGGGAGCATTAGTCCGCCTGGACCTGCAGCCACTGTTAGGAGGTTCAAAGTGGGGGGCAGCAAGGGACAGTTTGCTGGGTATAGGGTCCAGCCCAAGATGCACCAAGTCTTAGCAAGAGCAGGATGATATCTGTTATCCCATAGGAGGACTGAAGGTGGACCACCCCTAATCCTGCCTCTGGGCTGTGGACTGCAACCCGGTGGAATGCCTGTGTCCCTGAGCTGAAGTACTGAAGCACCGTTCTTAATTCGTTATTTGAGGAGTCTCAGTGAAGGAAAAGAAAGAAAAAAAAATTAGATTTCTACAGCCATGCAGTATGGTCACCCCTTTCTGATAGTCCCAAATCTCTTATACAGCTCAAGATAAGTGAATTATGATTATTAAAAATAATAAGCCATTCGTTACATTTGTACAGAAGTTTTCATCTTTCAGAGCGTTTTCCCAAACAGGATTTTTATATATTTGGAATATACTTTTCTAGCTGTTATAGCTGACTGGTAAAATTTTAAAGTATGGGAACTATAAACGGAAAGAGCCCACACATCTAGTCCCTCTGTGTGAGAGGTGAAATACAAACTTTCATGGGTGCAAAAACCACCACGAACCCTACCTACAGTCGCGCCTTGTGAACAAACCGCGGGAAAGTCTCTGATGAGTTTAAACAGCCGCAACACACTAGCGATGACGCAGAAAACAAACAATCCCTGACAAAATAAAGCCGCAGCAGCAACCACAAATGCCCCCCTGTCCGGCTGCCCTTCTCTCGTGTTTATCTGGAAAAGGATAACATTTTGCTGAAAATTTCTCTCTTTTAACTAGCTGCTGCACAAACAGGCGCGACGGAAATAATATAAGTCCGTGTTAAAAGAAAGAACAAGAAATTTATTCGAGAATTGACAAAACAACAAAAGTGCTCTAGTTTCTCTCTAGAAAATTTGGTCCTCCAAACGACACACTACAGAACAACCAGGTCTAGGAATTTCGGGCAGGCCGGCTCAAAAGCCCGTTAGGTCCGACTGCTGCCCAAGGTGCGAGAAGCAAGACGTTTGAAAAACAAAAATCAGGGACGAGCCGTCCCTGCAGCGTCCTCCAGGCAGGCTGTGATCTCCCGGTACTCTGGGCTTGCATCGGAAGATCCGGGAAATTTTGTTTTTGATTTTTGTTTTAATAGGAAGAGGGGGGAAAATCCCCTCATTTGTAGAGGAAACCATCTTTTACTGAGCATATTCTCCTACCTCTTTGAAGACAGCTTTTTGCAGGCCTGACAGGAATTCTACTTCAAGTTTCCTGCAAGAGATTTTCAGGTTTTGCTCTAGCAAACTCCACGACCACAATACTTCACCGGTTTTCCCGGTGAGTTATTTTCTTTAACAAATATATTTTTAAGCATTATCTAAAATAGCGCTCCGGATCTTTGTAGCAAAACCTAGCCAGCAGCCCGGCCTGGAGGAGCCCGAGGCGCCGGGATGCAGAGCGAAGGAAACGCAGCCTTTCTCCGAGCCGGGATGTGGTGTAAACCCGGGCGTAGGCCGCCCAGCGAGGCAGCCCGGCTTCCTGCTCGGGCCCAACCCCCATTCAGCCCAGTGGGACCTGGCGAGCGACTTCTGAACAGCTTCAAGAGGGTACGGAGCAAATACTCGTTCGTTCCTTTTCCCGGCGGCTCGGGGCTCGATGTCGGCCCAGACCCGCTCTTCTAGACAAGGATGGCGCGGCAGCCGGACGGGCAAAGCTGAGCGCGAGCGCACAGACCTGTGTGAGATTGCCAAGCGGTCTGCGCCGCTGACGCCTGGCTGCGCCTCAGCCCGGGCACTTCTCTCCACCTTGAATTTTGGCATGGGGTGTCCGGCCCGGACGCTGCGGCGCCCGGAGAAGACGAGGCCTGCAGAAAAAGTGCGCAGAAAGGCGGCCTGCAGGAGGGAGGAGAGAAAGGGCATAGAAGGCAGGGAGGCGAGCACAGGAGGAGAAGCGGAGGAGACAAAGAGGAGCAAGAGGAGCGAGAGGAGCCAAGAGGCGCGAGGAGGCGAAGAGGGGCCGCGGGCGCTGGCTCAGGAGGCAGCCCCTACGGGCGCGCGGACTGTTTGGCTGCAGTGGCTGCGCCCAAGGCCGGCGTCGTGCGTCCCTGCATCCTCGCATCCGGCGTGCGCTGCTGGACTCTCAGAGATCGAGGCGCGAGTGCAGCGCGCCGGTCTTGCTGTCGTGGTCCCAGTAAGAGCAATGCATCATGGCGAGCTCGGGCTGCCGGGCGCAGGCGAACTGCAGGCCAGGGGCGTTGGTGGGCGCGGGCGCCGGGGGCGCGGCTGTAGCCGGGCTGGCAGGGCTGAGCTGGCTCGGGGGCGGTGCGGTGGCCCCGTGGTGCGGCGGGACTGGCGGGGGTGCGGCGGCCGCGTGTAGATGGTGTGCGTGCGGGTGTGAGTGGGAGTGCGGCGGCGGCGGGGGCGCGGCTGGCGGGCCCCCAAGGCCGTTGTACGAGTTCACCACGCCGGCTGGCAGCGCCATGCTCTGCACGCGTGAGTACGGCCCGTAAGAGGCGGCCGGGCCTGCCAGCCCCTTGACCACCGCGGCAGCGCCCGGACTGCCCGGGCCCGCCGCCGCCGCCGCCGCTGCGGCCGCCGCTGCAGCCGCCGCCATCTGGCAGGAGGCGTAGGGCATGGGTGAGGGCGGCTGCGGGAGCGGCCACGAATTGTTGAGGAAGCCGGACTGCAGGTATTTAGGGGGTGCCAGGTAGCCGTAGCCGTCGGCTCCCGCGCCCGCCACGCCACAGCCACTCGCCGCACCTCCGGCCCCAAAGAGCCCCTTGCCGGGCTGGAAGTGCGCGGGGGGCGGCCGGAAGGGCCGCTTCATGCGGCGGCGGCGCCGGTAGTTGCCCTTCTCGAACATGTCCTCGCAGGCCGGGTCCAGCGTCCAGTAGTTGCCCTTGCGCTCGCCGCCGCCCTCGCGCGGCACCTTGATGAAGCACTCGTTGAGGCTGAGGTTGTGGCGGATGCTATTCTGCCAGCCCTTCTTGTTCTTTTCGTAGAACGGAAACTTGGCGATAATGTACTGGTAGATGCCGGACAGCGTGAGTCTCTTTTCAGCGCTCTCACGGATCGCCATGGCGATGAGCGCCACGTACGAGTACGGGGGCTTTTGCGCCGGGTCGGGCTTCTCCGGAGCTGTCCCGGCGCCACTGCCGCTCTTGCTTGGGCTCGGCGGCGGCGGTGCCTCGGGCTCCTTGGCTGCGCGGCCAGTCTCCGGGGCCAGCAGGGCCCCCGCGGCGTCCTCGGGCTCGGGGTAGCTGGCCATCATGACAAAGCCGGCGCGCAGCGGCCAGGCAGCCCTTGCTCTTCTTTGCTAGCGCTGGCGCGGCGAAGAGCCTGGGCGCACAAGTCCACTCTCAGCCGAATCTCAAACTTCTGGAGCCTGCCGATGCCGCGGCGCTCGCTCGCTGGCGGCCTCTCGCCCCTCTCCACTCTTCTTTCCGTTCCCCTGGGGAGCAGTCGGCGGGAGCAGTGCTCAGCCTCTGGCCATGGGGAGTCCGCCCAACAGAAAGGGGCTCCGGCCTCGCCGCCCCTCCCCGCCAGGCCAGTCCCCGCCTCGGCGGGTTTTCTTCACCGCTCTCTTCCCCTCCCCCACGCTCCGGTTTTCGAAGCACGACCCGCGTCTCTGGCGGAGCTGCCTCCCGGAGTCCCTAGTGCGCCAGGAGCCTCGCTCTGTTCTGATTCGTATGGGCTCCGCCGAGTTCCGCTTGCGTCAGGCGCCTTCGCCCCTATAGCTGGGCGGCCAGTCGTGCACGGGCGAGTTCATCTCCAAGTCACTTTTTGTAAACGCTCCGCACAGCCTGGACTCGCCTTCCCCCTCCCAGCGAGCCTGGGGGCCCGGCGGATAGCCGGGCTCACGCTCTCACAAGCCCTGGAAGTCTGGCGGTGTTCGTTCTGCGGGTCCGATCGCTCTGCGGGTCCGTCCGCTCTGCGGGTCCGTCCGCACTCGACCCCGTGTCCAGGGAGCTTGGGCCCTAGCGAGGAGAGGCGCGCCAAGTCTCCTCGCAGCTTTCAGGTGAAAGAAAATCGACTCCTTCGCTCGGCCCTTTGCTGCTATCTTGGGACTAAGCCTCTAGCTCAGGGCTGGGGGAGGGGCGGGAGGGCGAGGGGGCTGGACGGGGGTGGGGTGGAGAGAGCCGCGCGGTGGCTTTGGGAAAATCAGCCCAGAAACGCGTGTCCCTGAAGGAAGAAACTTCGGCTTGGCCTGTTCCTCGCGCTCTCGGTGTGACTGGGCCGGGTTGGGGCTAGGGAGAGGATCGCTGGGAAGAGGCATCCAGGGCTTCCTCCCTTTCTTGAGCTGCCCAGGACCTAGGCACCAGACCCTTCCTCAGAATGTGTGCGTAGCCTACCGGTTGGATGTGTGCTTTAATACCAAGTAGACCCCGTTTTGCTCCTGCTCCGACACAGGCGAGAAGGTTGCCCCCGTGGAGCTTTGGGTGACTGTGTGTCTAAGGGCACCGGTAGTACATCTAGAAGTCAGGGCGAGTCTTCTGGCCTTGCGACACTTGAGAGACTGGCTGCCCACGTGCACGTTTAAACGCATGTAGAAGGTTTGAGATTTACGAGGTAAAATATTTACACTCATATGTGGGTAATGATATATGTATCACGTCATGTATCAGAGTAAATGTCGCTCAGGGTTTTTACCTCTTCTTATTATTTCCTCTGTCCTCCGCTCTCTTTCTTTATTCTTCCCTTCCCTATGTCCTTTCCCTGCTTTCTTTTCTTTCTCAATTCTTCCCGCCTCCATCGCTGCCAGTGTATATATTTCTGCTACAGACGAGGAAGAACAACATGCTGTGAGGGAGGCACTTTTCCAAATCTCTCTCATGACAAGCCATTTGTTCTGATCTCTCTCCAGGACTGAGGGGTGAGTTCTTACCTACCTTCAGCAGAATTCTGATTGGGACCCAGTTACATGTGCATGAACAAACATTGCCTCAGGGGAAGTCAATGACGGCCAAAAAAAAAAAAAAAAAAGGGAAAGAAGAAGTCAGGTGTGCCTTTTAACAGTTAACAGACTTACAAAAATTCTGTAGTCAAAGTGTGAGAGAGATGGCTCATGTTTTGAGTCCCCATGCTTTAAACTCTGTGGTGCTGAGGGGGCAGGGATCCTTTGTAGAGGAAGGTGGACTGAATGGATGTCCTGCAGGTGTGTGTCAGTGATTGGCATGTCTGGAGTGGTTGGCCTAATGCCTGTCACCACCTCGTCCTCCCAGGCTGTCCAGCCTCTGAGGAAGTCACAGCCCACCTGCACGTGCTGCTTCTTCCCACGCGGGCCTATGATCTGCATTCTGAGGTTAAAGGAAAGGCGGAGAGGGTGATGAGGCTCTTGGAATTCAGCATCCTGAAGATGACTCCAGAGAGTTCAGCAGAAAAGCTTGGTCTGATCACTTCAGTAAGAGGGTGCAGGGCTCTCCTAAACTCATCTCAGTAAATACCCTCTTCCACCCACCATTGAAAATATCTCATAGTAGCTTGGTGGTTTTCTCCGACCGCTCCCAACATACAGCGGGGCAAAGCAGCACTTCTTCACATCCTCTGTGCCCGCTTCCTGAGCAGGAGTGCAGGTGTTTTTCTTTATCCTCACTTGATGGGTGCCCAGGCTATGGGTGGGAGTTCTGTTTGGGCTGCTGCCGATTAACTGCAGTGCCCCTCGTCCCCCAGGGCCTGGGCAAGGGAAAAAAAACAGCTTGAGCTGGCCCCACCTTGGGGTGCTGCCATCTCTTCTGCTCTTTTTTTCTGACCACCCAGGCTGGCTCTCCGTCCCTCTCTCCCCCTTGCAGGCATTTCCGCTTCTGGCCGGCAGCAGCCAGGTGTAACAGCATTGTTGTGTGTGTCATCACTTCCCCGAATTCCAAACTCGGCTCCCTTTTCAGCCTTTTAAGGAGTGTGTGTGTGTGTGTGTGTGTGTGTGTGTGTGTGTGTGTCTAGGGGATGGGGGCAAAGGAAGGAGTGCCTCTAAGGGATTTTTCTGAGTGGGAAAAGAGGAGTCCTGCTCTCCCCAGGTATTGATCTCTCCAGGAAGCAGCGGGGCGCGCCTTAGTTTACTTCTCAACCCTCTTGGGCAGGCTGGGGAGGGTCCCGCTTCCCGGGGAGGTCGGGATCCCGCCTCGCGGGGCAAACCATGCGGAGGTTTATGTGGGACTCCAGGGCTGACCCCTCTTCCCGCGGGGCCTCGGCGACCCAGGGCCCCGACTCAGTGACCTCGGGTGGTGCCCACCTCCAAGGACCGGGCGGAGCTCCTCGCCTCTACCGCCTGGTTTCGCGGGGCCTGCAGCTGCCGCTCAGGAGCCGCCGGAGCGCCTTCTGTGGACCCCGGGCCAGACAGAGACCCGCCGACGGAGCGCGGTCTCCTCTCCGGCGCCTCCGAGGCCCCTCACCGGCCCCCCTGGCTCCGACGCCCCGGCAGCCGGCGCGAGCACAGCACTCGGCTCGGATGGAGGGAGACGCTTCTGTCGCCGCGGCCGGAGTCCTGACGGCGCATCGCCAGGTGAGCGGCGAGCGGCCCGCGGCCTGGAGGCAGGCAGCGCTGACCTGCCGCGGCTCCACTCGTCCCGCACCGCCGCCGCCCGCCTGAACCAAGCCCTGCGGCCCCCTTTCCTGGCGGAGCTCTGAAGCATTCCGGGTAGGTGAGGCACCGAGCCCTCTGCAGGCCTCTCTTGTGGGCATGGCCTCTGTGGCACGCACGCGGGAAACGGGAAGCCGGACTGTGTTTCTTAGTACATTCCCGCACAACTCCACACCTCAACTGTCAGCACTACCCCAATTCCTCCCCGCCACTCCCACCCCTCACCCCACCCCCACCCCCACCCCCACGAACTCCAGGGCCTTCTCCTCAGGTCACATCCGTCCATCCATTTCTTCCAGTCAACCCAGGATCCCCTCCCCTTCTTTTCCCCACTACTCTCTCACACTCACCTGTTATACAATACATATTAGTTCAGATCCTGCACATCTTGGTGTAAAATATGTCAGTGTAATTCCCGGACTCTACGTTTCTTCACACACTGGTCACCCAGCTATCTCATGACACAGAGTCACCTCTTGGCTCCATGTCTGCGAGTCTGAGTCCCAGAACATGTTGTCTCTCTGATGTCCTTGGTCTGTGGTTAGGGTGACTGGGTGGCCACCTGGATATTGCCATGATGAGGTTACTGCTCTGAGTTCATTTTAGAAGCTTAGGCACAGATCATACCCCTGATGTGCTTTAACACACACAGGCCACTCACGCAGGCTTCGTCTCTGTTTTGTAGCTGAGCTAGCTGCTGCACTGTCAGTCTGCAGGCTGAGATGGTTGCACAGTTCTTCTGCACACACCCACACAGCTCCAGGCCCTAGGCCAGCCGGAATTATTCTGCCTGGATGGGATTAGCAGAGTCACTTACCCAAATATGTGCTAGAGAGAGAGAGTGAGAGAGAGAGAGAGAGAGAGAGAAGGGAAGGGGGGGAGAGAGAGGGGAAGGGGGGAGAGAGAGAAAGAGAGAGAGAGAGAGGCACAGAGGCAGGCAATGGCATTGCCCATTCTGGGGAAGAACTCACAGATGACAGCTGTTTCCAGTTGGTAAGTATCTTTTTAAATCCCACACCCCTGACCTTGTTGTAGCTGGGCTGGGAGGCAGTAGGTCAGAGTTCTGGGCTCCTCTTTCCTTTGCTGATACTGGGTTCCACCAGCCCCTCTGTCCTAAGGAGTGTGTGCCCTACCCTCTGCAAGGCAGACTGCAGGGCAGTTGTAGGCCTTTCTCCTGGCTGAGCCTAACTCAGGGAAAAAGGCAGAGGAGGCTGGTTTCTGGGCCATGTGAGGTCCTCCCCTTTCTAAAGACCTCTCGGATGCTCCAAAAGAGAGAATTCTAGGATGGCAGGAGCTGCTGGCCAGCTTCCTTTGGTATCCCATGGCTATGATTCCGAAATAGTCCAAAGCCATTTTGTTCATTCTTAAACAGTGAATACCCTACCACTAGGCCCCAACACACACTCAAGAGTGCGATGTGTTGTTGTTTAGAGTTGCCTTGTTGCCTTTCTCCACACCTAGACTGTAAGCCTTGGCAGGTGAGACTCTGTCCTCCACTTCTCAGTGCTTCCCACCACGGTGGGCTCAATACATTCTAGTGGGATTGGAAAATGGCCCTGTTCCACAGAGAGACTTGAGAGATGCCGCTTTCCTTGTAATGAAGCTGGAATTTCCAAGAACGGAACTGCAGGTGGAACACAGTGGCTAGACCACGGAGGGCCAGCTCAGGATTTGAGAGTCCTCTGCTGTTTGGGGCT